CACTACAATCACATGAATAGTGATACTAGGTACTAGTACCCTCTAAACTCCAGCCAAAAGTGATGCTAGGTACTATTACCCTCTTCCAGTATTTTCAAGCATGAGCTGACATAGGAAATCCGTATCTGTCAATCCTTCATTTTCAGAGGTATTCCTCCCAACTCCTCATAAAAGCATAAAAGGCTCTTAGGCAGAATCCATAAAAATGGACAAATTTTAATAGTAACTCACATATAAAACGGTGATATCCAGCTTCACATATTCCTCTCTCAAGTTTCAGGTTGAAAATCACATGTTTCCAACCAACAAAATGGCCGCAGCGACACTTACGGGAGTGACGTCATCAGACACATATAATCTCCCTAGACTGTATACTTTCTAGGGAGAAAGTTGTGATTTTGTGTGAAGGGTTATAATATAGGAGCTTATTGATTGATATCTTCCTACTGTTCTCCGTCAGAGGTACACAAAGGGATCATGCCATTTATCTTGCCATTAACCATGCAAAATATTAATAGAAATTGTTGGGTACAGTTGGCCTTTAACCACTTGCCTTCCTGAGGATTTACCTCCCTTCCTGACCAGGCCATTTTTTGCATTACGGTGCTGCGTTATTTTAACTGACAATTGCGCAGTCATGCAACGTTGCACCCAAATGAAATGTACGTCCTTTTTTTCCCACAAATGGGGCTTTCTTTCAGTGGTATTTGATCACCTCTGCGGTTTATATTTTTTGCGCTATTAAAAAAAAAAGACCAACAATATTGAGAAAAACACTATATTTTTGACTTTTGGTATTAAACATGTCCACTAAAAAATTTTAAAAATCAAATTTTGTCATACATTTAAGCCAAAATGTATTTTGCTACCTGTCTTTGTGAAAGAAAATCCCAATACATGTACATTAATTAGTTTACGTGAAAGGTATAGCATTTACAAATGGTGGTATATATACTGGGCTTTTTTTTTTTTTTTTTTTACTAGTAATGGCGGTGATCAGCGGCTTATAGCGGAGCTGCAGGGCTGCTGGACGGCGGTGGACATTCTGACACTGGGAGGAACTGACTTTGTGTCACTGACATCCCCAATGACACCAATACAGTGATCAGTACTGATCAAAAGCACTGATACTGCACTGGGCAGGAAGGGGTTAACATGTGGGGCGATCAAACGGTTAACTGTGTGCTGTCTTACATAGTGTCCTGTGTTAGTGCTTCACTGTAAGCACAGTGCTTTATATGGCTATGCTATGCACAGCCACGCAAATCAGTGTGCAGGAGTTGACAGTGGAGAGAACTGTTTTGTTTACAAACAGTTCTCCCCCCTGTTGGAGATACTTGGCAATCACGAGTAATCACCAGCTGGAACCCGGTGATTGACAGCTGCAGCCGCGAATGGTACGTGATTTTGTGCACAGCTGCCTCGCTGTAGCAGTATTTCTGCTGTGGAGCGGCACTAAAGCGGTTAATGAAAGCTTACAGCTTTTCCTTCAGTATTGTTCCTTTTACACCAATTCACATACAGTAATGCACATTCGGTTTCACTTGCCTTTTCAGAGAGCAAATAACAGAACAAACTGATTTTAATAGGACAAATACTGCTTCATCTTGTCCAGATAATGCTAAATACATAAGTTTAAATGCAATTTATATGTGTATTTTTAACATTTTAATAAATATTCTACACTATATTAGCTCTTTCCTTTGATTTCCATGATGGAGAGGAGGTTCCTCTGTATAGAAATCAGAAAACGTAGTGAAGTGGTGGATGATCCGACCAATAAGTGCTGAATTACTTTCTTTTTAATTAAAGAAGTCATGGTGTTCTGGTGAGTGATTCACTTTATGAGCACAGTTGGTGGATTCATATTCTTTTGGCGGAGGTGGAATATATGAAGATTATTGTGAAGACACACAAGTTGGATAGACTTTTTTGCATATATTATAGTATGTATAGAGCTGTATGCAGGGGCGGACTGACCATTTGGAAACTCGGGCACTGCCTGTGGGCCCAGGGTCCATAGGGGGCCCCATGAGATGCCCCTGGTACCTTTTTCATAGGCTTTTTTGAGTTTGGGCAAGGACACAGGGGCCCCGTGATCCCCTATTGCCATGAGTTGTCAGTCCGCCCCTGGCTGTATGATATATAAGTTGCACATATATATATATATTTTAGAGTTGTATAATATATGAATTGTACAATGTATTTTTTGATATTTAGACAATAATTTGATGAATCAGAGTGTAAGGGTTAGCACCCCCTTAGGTATCTGTTTAATAATGCTAAATACACAAAACTAGCAATCACGAGAAGCTGCAGTCATGGTAGAGAGCTGTTATGAGATTGCTGATGCTGAGAAGAGTTAGAAGTCTCTCTTCAGCTCTGGGAGGGGGGCTGCTCTGTAAGGAGTTATGATTAGTTAGGATAAAAGGGATGGAGCCTGTACAGATTGGTATCATCAATCATAGTATAAACTTTAAATGCAAACTGGTAATAACCAAGCAAAATTGTGCTGACATTTGGTAGTCTAGTTTACAAAATTAAATGAATGTATGAGTTCTTGATGGATGCACCATGGACACTTAGAAGAGAGCTAGCACCCGAACAGACATTTTCAAAAATATATATTTTAACAATAACTGCATTTCTACATGTAAACTCATTTCTGAAGATTCAGCTGATATATGAAGCCCAGTGGAGTTGCAGCTCCATCTTGGTGATGGTGTCAACATGAGGTAGCATCTTCTTTCGCAAGATACACAATATATGTAATGGGGAAGCTATATACAGTTAAGCACTGTAATCTTTAGGCAGATCCATTGTCATACTATAGTGCCAATATGTCTCTGAAGGTTTTCATTTATGCAGGTCATGGTAAGACTCATGTTTTCTAAACCAGAGTTCCGTGGAATCCTAGGGTTCCTCCAGAGGCTGCTTGTAGTCCTTTTAGCTATCTCTAAGGGTAATTCTTCCCAATGACCACAAATGTAAGGAGCATTCTTCCTACTGACCATCACACTAGTGTATCATGTGCTGTAGATATAGTCATTTTGTAGCAGTGGTTCCTTGAAACAGAAAAGTTATTTCAAGGGTTCTTCGGTGTTGAAATGGTTGAGAAAGGCTGCTATAACTTTTAGTAGGTTGTCACATTTAACTGGACTTGTTTTGTAATATTGAAGACATTCCACTACTCCTCCAAATGACTTTTCCACTTCCTTCCTGTTTTGACATATGTCAGGATACCATCGTGATTGAATTATGGAAACTGATTTAGCTGTGTGGCTATAAATGCTGGAGTATGTTCCTGAGGCTCATTTGAACATAGGAAGCCACTTGTCTGAGTGGTAAAGTTTCTTCAACATTGCAGAACAAGTCAATTTAAATAAGATTAACCTCATTAACAAATACAAGACTGGATGTTTCTGCCTAAAGCTCTGCCTTGGTCATTCCCCCACAATTCTTTGCATTGGCAGAGACCATGTGACCTATGCTGAAGTGCCAATGAGAATCCTAGCATTGCATCATTATCTTTTACCAAGAATATGCTACTTTATTTATTTGATAAACTCTGGTTTAAAATTTTTTTTTTTCTTATTATAATCTTGTTTCAGCTTTTAAACTATTTTATAGATATGTCAAATTGTGAAATGCAGAATATATCCGTTGGAGTAAAGACAAGAGAACAAAAGTAATGCCAGTATTTTTGTTATACAGTTGTGGGTAATTGGTCTTAACACTAGAATGGATTGTGATTGTAAATGTATAAGTGATTATGTAAGGGTGCTGAGGTCAGCGACAGCGACTTTCTCATACACAATACATATAAATCACAGCGGGAGATTAATTGCTGTACAGGCTACTAAAGAATCATCCTCGGAAAAGTTGCTATTTGTATATGTACTTGGAGAAAATCTACATTAATGGAGAAGACGACAGACCTTATTACCATCAATAACTCTCTCTGCCAGTATAACATTTTCATAATTTGAATGCTGTCTGTTTCCTATTTTGTTTGATGACATGTTTTAATGGCCTCAAAAGGAAACATACAATGTTTTTTCAAATAAGATCAGCACAACGCTAATAATTCTGTCACTTTGTGTGAGATAATAGAAACATGGTAGATTTTTTGTCCTATCCCTGGCAAGCCTCTTTGGGGTTGATATAAGGGCAAATAGACTGTTCACTTTGTAAGTGAAGTTGCACTTTGCATGGGAATTTTCCCAAGAGCATAGCAAATGTGGTGAAGCTCTGCTTCCATCATCCAATCATGTGAAAGCAAATATGCTGAGTTTTTTTTCTTTTTCTTTTTTGTGATTGGGTACTTGCACAGTGAAAGACTACCGCATTCATTAAGCTCTTAGGAAAATTGTGTTGCAAAATTCAACGTCCCTTGCAACGTGAACAGCTTATTTGCCTTCAGTAAATCAACCCCTTTTTTTTTTTGGAATAGGAATAGGAAAGCAGAACTTCAATGTATCTGAGCACCACAAACTGAAAACCTTATTTAAGTCAGTTTTAATTTTCAAAGCAAAATCATTGTAAGCTCCAAGGAGCGGGGCCCTCCTAACCCTCTTGTATTGAACTGTATTGTTGCTGTATTTTCTCCCGTTATATTGTTATGCGCTGAGCAAACTGTTGGCGCTATATAAATCCTGTATAATAATAATAATAATTCATCACTCCATGTCTCCATGCTTAAAGCGGAGGTCCAGCCATTTTTGTGTTTATTATACAAAAACTGTAGCTGCTGACTTTTAATAAACACACACTTACCTGTCCTAGAGTCCAACGATGTGCTCACCCACGCCGTCCCTTCTCTCCTTCTCTCCTCCATAGCGCCGGCATCTCAACTGTGGGCACAAGGCTGTGACAGCTTGCGGTTTCACTGCCTGGTGCCCACTGAGCATGTGCGAGTCAAGTTCCCAGGAGGCTGCGGGAGGAAGGAGAGAGGCCGAACTTCCGGCTCACTTCACCTTGGAGAACTGAGCCGGAAGTGGCAGTGGGTACCTGTCAAAAACAGGTATCAGCTCCCCATTCCCCCCCAAAAGATGCCAAATATGTCAGTGGGGGGGGGGACAAATAAATGGAGTTTCCATTTTTAAGTGGAACTCTGCTTTAACTTTGTTGAAAAATCACTTGGAAAAACACCCCAGATAGCATTTCAAGCATCTTGAGTAAGGGCAGATGATTCATGTAGCACTTCCTTCCTGGAATCCACCTTCCCTTAGCTCATGCATACAGGCAGGAGGGTGTGCTTAGATGAGAAAGCTCCTCCTCCAGGTGAAAGCAAAGATAGACTCCAGGGATGTATAACATAATTTAAGCCTAGGCCAGAAACTAGGAAGCAACTGAAAAAATTTAAAAATAAATAAAAATAAAACGTAATATACTTGTCTATATATTTTCTAATGCTAGCAGCATAAGAATTAAAAATAGGTAATGTTGATTTAGAGAGTTCAGTTACGGTTTAAAGTGATTCTAAAGGTTCATTTATTTTTTTTGTAAAATAACATACATGTCTATACATACCTACTGCGTGCTGTGGTTTTGCACAGAGCAGCCTGGTTCCTCCTCTTCTCGGGTCCCCCTCAGGCTCTCCTGACCCCACCCTTCTCTTTGGATGCCCCCACAGCAAGCAGCTTGCTATAGGGGCACCAACTGCTCCGTGTGTCAATGGCTCCCGCTTGCTGTATCAGCCAATGAGGAGGCAGAGACCCGGGACAGCCGAGGATCACAGTGCAGGATCGCTATGAGGCTCAGGTATGTATTGAGGGGGCTGGGGGGCACTGCTGCACACAGAAGGTTTTTTACCTTCATGCATAGAATACATAAAGGTAAAAAACCTTCAGCCTTTACAATCACTTTAAGGTTACTTCTTTCTGTATAAAATTCACGGAGCAAAGAATGATGGCTACTCCACGTCTGTTTTGTGTTCAAGTGAATTCAGAGTCTAAAGCATTGATGCAGCAGTCAGTGTCAATCACTTGGGGTGGGTGATACACAAAGCAAAGTTCACTTCCTAGGCACGCTACGCTCTAAAATTGCAAGCTGAACATTCTGATCCTGGTATAATATCACCTAGGGTTGTAGTAACCAGCAAGAGTGTGTTTTCTCAGAGTGACAACATTTCAGTTTAGGGAGCTGCTTGCCCAGGAGGTGCCCATCTAGGTCAGCCTCTCTCAACCTTTTCAACAAAGTGGAACGCTTGACATAAGATTCTGGTCTCAGGGAACCCCTGCTAAAAATGACTATCTACAATTCATGATACATTAGTGTGATAGTCAGACGTAAGAATGCTCCTTACACTTGTGGTCATTGGGAAGAATTTAGATCAATGGTGTCAGTGGAAACTTACCTGAGAGGAAAAAATTGTTCATTGCTCAAGGAACCCCTGGAATCCTCTGGGGGAACCCTGGTTGAGAAACCCTGATCTAGGTGGTAACTGGCAGGTTCACCCGGCCTAAATAAAGCAAAGGAAAAGCAAAGAAAATATCAAAGAGGCTGAAAGAGGTAAACAATAAACCATTATTACATGCAATATACTTTTTAGATTTAGATATACTTTATAAATCCATTAAAGGTGTTTTTATTGAAAAGTCATTATTATTTAATTATCGACCTCCTGTTTAGAATCCTTGAATGATCAGGAGCTACCTTTGTAGATTTCGTTAGCAGTGCCACCTGCTGATAAAATATGGTAGTGTGGCATTATGGTAGTGTGAAATTAGAGCTCCACCTACAAGGGGAAGTTCTGCTTTAAGGACTGCTCCCCCGCTCCCCATTAAGGATTGGCACCTTTGGGGGGCAAGGGTGGAGTTGACAGGTACCCGCTCCTACTTCCGGTCCAATCGCCTAGGCAATCAGAAACGGAAGGTGCCCTCCCTCCCTCACTCCCTGTAGTCTTTTGGGACAAGTGACAGGTCCCAGAAGACTACAGGACCACTCATGAAGCGCAGCGCTACTCGCGCATGCGCAGTGGGTACCCGGCTGTGAAGCCGCAAGCTATCATAGCCGGGTGCCCACGCTGAAGATGCCGGCCTTCTGGAATCAGGACGGCCGGTGAAACGGGCTGCGGGGTACACACCACGGGACTGAGGGACAGGTAAGTGGCTGTTTTTTAAAAGTCAGCAGCTACAGTTTTTGTAGCTGCTGACTTTTATTTTTTGACAGGGTGAGTGGAACTCTGCTTTAAATACCATAGTATGAATCATCATGGGGATCCTGTTGTTTACAAAGAGATTTGTGAAGTCATGCCCCCTTTTGTGTTACTCTAAAAAAGGGCAGTTTACATTTTGCCAGGATTTTCCCTTTTATATTAGATCTCCTTTCAGTAGCTTTTTCATAGATTTGGAAATGCTTATAACCTATTATTGCTATCTATTTCCCTCTTGGGGGGGACCCCTAACTTTCTGTCCAATAATAGCGATCACCAGGGTTGTGAGAAGGAGTTCAAAGTTTTATTGTTGTCATCTGAACAGGAATAGATGGGATATCTTTCAGTGAAGATGTGTTCTAGTGACAGCTGTCACTAGCCGTTTTCTTCATATCAGTAAAAACATGGAGGATCTAACCTTTCTGTATTCTATCCAAAATTGCAAAAGAATAAACATTGGCTGTAGTTCTAGATTAGAGGAACAGAACTCATGAAAGACAGAGTGAAAATGACTAGTCACCAGTATTGCCAGTGGTCTGCCTGCATCTGATCTTTTCCCAATTACTGATTTGTTCTGCATTTTGCAGCCATCTTGGTAGAGGCAGGGTTTTGCTACCTCATGTTAGAGGTTGCAGCAAGGAGAACAACAAGCAGCACAGTAGCAGCATCACCAAATCTCACTCCAAATCACCTCTGACTAGCAGTTAAACTCAGCAGTTCCTTAGATCTCACACTGCGATATACAGCTATGTGCTTAGACTCTCTCATTTACCAGGAAGTGCACTGACATTTTTTCAGGTGAAATTCAAGGCAGAAGGTAATTTTTCTGGTTACTGCTTAGGAAAAATTAACACTTCTAAATGTTCCCTATAACAAAGCAAATATTCACTTTTCGAGTTCAGGTCCACTTAATAGCCCAAAAAAGGAAAAAATAACAAAACCAACTTTTGCTGCAAAATTCACAGTAAACCCATTAGATGTCCCCAGTCTGATGGCCACCATCATTCAACCCACTTTCTCTGTGCCCAGGTCATTCTGAACCTGTGAATGGACAGTGGAAGGAGAAACAGCACAGTGATATGCTTATGTATCTGTCACCCTGTTTTTCTCCTCCTATAAGCATGCTTCTTCCCAGCACATGAACCGATTGGCTGCTTGTATCGCTTCCTAGTTCCACACTCCAGACCTGCTGTATAGAGAGTAAAAGAGGCTGATACCAGGTCATACTTACATTGCTTGTATTTACAAAATACATATAACAATGTACTAATAATTACATGTGGAGGCAGGGTCAGCCAAGATATCCAGGAGAAAATCACACATGGTCTTATGTTGTCCCGAATTATCTTAATATTAATAGGCATACATAGTTCAGTAAGCACTGATATAACACAATCCAAGAATTATGCTCCCACAGTGTTATCAGTATCTGGCTTGAATTACCAAAGGGGCTGCAGTTTGTGATGTACCAAGGCGGCACTGTATTCACTGGCTCCTATTCCAGTCTCTGCATAGTACCCCACACTATAGGAGTTGTCCTTATTGTGACCCTTCTTATCAGGAACCTTTCCTTGTGTTATTTCCTTTCCCTAACCAATGGGTACCTGTCCCAATCTACCATTCACTCGCACTTGAATGACGTGGGACACCCTATTTATCAGGTCCTTTTTCAAGATGGCCACCTGAGATCTCGAGCGATTACAGCATCCAATCAGACACCTGTTTGCCTGTGAAAATGGATGGTGTCCATAACCGCTTGCCGACCTCCTCACGTATCTAATATGTGATTCAGCTCACCCGCTGCCCCCTGCTGTGCTGTGATTAGTTACAGCACAAGCCGGTCTATGGGTCCCGGCCAAAGATTGGTGGCTGGGACCCGCCAATCGGTGAAGCGGATGACAGGACAGAGCTCTGAGAATGTAAACAGAGAGCTCTGGCCTGTCAGCAGGGATGTGCCATTTTTTGCTTCTCTGCAAAGCAGGGAATAAAAACCAGCACATCCCCTAGTAAAATCAGTACACAGTAAACACACCAATCAGCCAGTGTCATTAGTACAGTGTCAGTATATATTATTTGCACTGATCACTGTATTAGTGTCACTGGCGATGTTAGTGGCTGTTAGTTCCCACAGAGTCAGTTAGTGTCAAATTGCCCATCGTACTATCATAGTCCTGCTATAAGTCGCTGATCACCGCCATTACTAGTTTAAAAATAAATAGATAAAAAATACAGTATATATATATATATATATATATATATATATATTATTATTATATTCTTAATATATACCATAGTTTGTAGACACTACAACTTTCACACAAACCAATTAATATACGCCTTTTGGGATTTTTTTTTACCAAACATATGTAGCAGAATACCTTTTGGCCTACATTTATGACAAAATAAAAAAATTTTATTTATTTTTTATTGGATATGTTTTATTGCAGAAAGTAATAAATATTGTTTTTTTTTCCTTTTTCATTTATAAAATAAGAAATAAAAAGCCCAAAAGAAATCTCTGTTTGTTTGAAAACAATTATAGAAATGTTATTTGGGTACAGCGTTGCATAACCACGCAATTGTCAGTTAAAGCAGTGCAGTGCTGTATAGCAAAAATTGGCCTGGTCATGAAGGGGGTAATATCTTCCGGAGGGTAAGTGGTTAAGGGAACAACCGTCTCTCCCCCTGACAATGTAAGGCCCCTTTCACACGAATGTTCCGATTGGGTCAGCCTGCCCATTTTTCAGGTAGACCTGCTCAGAACCTCTATTCTCCTCAATGGTGCAGCGGGTTTAAATGGACATCCAATCCGATCTGCCAAAGAGAGATGGATGGGGATCCATTCAACTTCCGTCTATCGGATTGGATGGGATGGCAGTCGGATGGAAACAGACAGGTACTCCATTTCTACGCAACCACCCATAGAGAACAGCAGGCCGTGTCAGTGTTCACTCTGCAGCAGCGGAGCAAACGCCGACCTGGCATCCGCTTGCTCAGCAGGGATCAACAAAGAGATCCCCCGCTTAGCAAGCAGATCTGTTGATGGGTCCGCCCTGTGTGAAAGAGGCCTAAGGCCAGCCATACATGGGTCGATTTTCGAACAATTTTTCGTTTGAAAATCAGACCTAAGAATAATCGGCTGATTTTTTGTTCTGTTAGTGGGGCAATGGCACCGGACGATTTTCGTGGTTCCTCCCCATTTCGTTTGTTGGGCATGCTGCTAAATTCGTGAAAAACAACCGATTTTCAAAATCATTGATGGCACCATCGGATTACAGAACAAACGATGTTTTTGATTTCCGATCGAAAAATCTTTCGGAATTCGACCCATGTATGGCCTGCTGAACAGTGTTATCCAAAGGTTGGAAGTACACCTGTACCTGTCTACACACAGCTGCGTTAATTTGTGTCTTTCATGTCTTCCTAGAGTTCAGCTTTAAGTAGATGTGTGACCAAGGCAATTTGAAAATACATTTAATAACAGTTATTTTGCCTCTGATATGTTGTGGGATCTGGTTATTTGCAGCAGGATATCCTGTCCTATCCAGGGGCGGACTGACAACTCATGGGCCCCCCGGGCAATAGGGGATCATGGGGCCCCTGTGTCCTTGCCGAAACTTAAAAAAGCCTATGAAAAAAGGTACTGGGGCATCTCATGGGGCCCCCTACTGACCCCGGGCCCTCGGGCAGTGCCCGAGTTCCAAATTGTCAATCCGCCCCTGGTCCTATCTAGAATATGTACTATATATTACAATTCCAGCCCCTGAAACTCATCTGACTCTCTGTTGATAGGAGAGTACACTCTAATACCAAGCAGGAAATCTGTTAATGTAAAAATAGTTTTGTGGATTTAAACAGGTTTTCATAATTTACTTGATGCCTACAAGCTTTTACGTGCTGATCCAATGTAATATAATGAGCAATCACAAAGTAAATATAAGCAATAGGTTATGTTTACTGCTGTGCAGGCGGCAGGCTATGAATTCACAGCTGACTGAACATAACAAGCTAGAGGTATTAACCAGTGCACACATCCAAACTCCAGTCCTACTGAACTTGATCAGAGTTACATTTTGTGCTCCTTGGAGATGGCTTGTAGTGTTCTAAAAATGTAAAAATAAAACAGTATCGTCTTTTTAAAATGCAAAGTTATTTAAGTGTTAAAGCAGATCTAAAGGAAGAAATTGGCTTTAGGGCCTCCCGGCCCCGCACTTGTCTCCTGGTGTACGCTCCTTCTAGTGATTCCTATGTACTTCTGAACTAATGCAGCAACTAAAGGACAGGAACTGGGAAGGGCAGAGGCATTGATTGGCTGTTCTGGCAGAGTATGTCAATTCTGGTCCGTTAAAGCCTTATTGTCTAGGTGAAGTAATGGGAAGTGAACGTTAGGACAGCCTGGTCACATTTACAAAAAAAGGCCACTGCCCCAGTCTATAAATGGCCTTCACAGCAGGGAGCACATGGAAGGGTGACGCATGTCAAACAACAAAAGAGAAAAATTCCCAGCTCAGCTTGCCAACCAACCTGCAAACAAACCGAATTGACCTGACTAACAGTATGCCTTAAAAACAGGGGTTTAGTTAGCACACATTTGCAAATACATGCGTAAGGTACAGAGCCATCCCACGGCATCTGTTGTTCCTAACTTTACAAATTTTGAGAGCCCCCCATAGTAGAGACACATGTATTTAATGGATAGACCAAAGGTAGGTGGACCTGAGGGAGCCCACCTCTCCTTAAAGGCATAGGAGCGCACTGGATATCCAGTATGTAGCACAATGGCAGCTAAGGAGTCCAGTGCGCCCCCTAACCAACAATTCAACAGTACAAAAAATGGCCCCTGCCCAATACTGCCGTAAAAGTTTGGACCACTAGGTGCACCATTCATTACTGAGGACAGAGGGCACAAATGCACCATCCAGCCCTGCTGCAGGCA